TTTAGAAAACACACAACAGTAACAAAACAAGTCTTTTTTTTTGAAATCACGTAAAAAAAGTGCAAATCCGAGAAAATTTTAATAATAAAAGATTTTTTTGCGCGCGCATTTCATATTATATTTTGTGTTTATTTTTTATGGCTGGCATAGAGCTAGAGTGAAAATCTGCAACAGTTTAGATAATTAAATTATTTTCGTCCATAATTTTGGCTCATAATCAAAAAAAGCGAAAAATTTTTTTTGTCGTCGTCAAATATAATAATTTTGTATATTTTTTTTCTCTTCTGCTTATAAATGAATTAAATTTTATAAATATTATGTTTTTGTGCAAAAAAAAAATTTATTATGAATATTAATCAAAAGTCATAAGAATATTTGTTAAAAAGAGGAGACAACTCTGAAATGAATAACAAAAAAATGCTCTTGAAATAAGAATAAACAAGAAGAGTCTATGTGAAATTTTAAAAAGAGTTTTAATTCAAGAAAAATAATTTTTGTATTGAAAATTTTTTAGCGGAAATGCTTTGATAAATTTTCAGACATAATGGACTTTTTAAGTTCAACATCAAATCAACTTTATGGCTGGGTAAGATTTATTTTAAATTAAACATGGCTTTGTATGTTCTATAATGTGATAATTGTAAGGATAAGCGTCTAATAAATAAAGAGTGACGGAAATTGTGAGTTATTAGGATGTATAAAATGTCAAATTATTTTTGAGGTTGTATGGCAGATATTAGTTTGTTTTTGATTTAGTTATAAGGTAAACTATTTTTTGGATAAAGGGAGAATCGGCTCAAAATTTGTATATCAAGGAGAAATTGTAAGCGTAATATTTTAGGAATTAATTTATTAGCGTCACAAACGGAGTAGCAATTTCGTAATATCCTTCAAAACGTGCAGCTTGTATAAGGGGAATTCAATAAAATTAGAATAATTATTTTTCGAAATTATCTATTAAATTTCGGAATTTTGTGTCATTTTACTTAATTAATAAAAATTTAATTCTTTTTGAATTTTAGAAATTTTACTTGGTGGCAGACATTAATAGAAATACACAATAGCTAGTAAAGGCTGTGTTATTTTTACTTGTACATAGTATACCTACTTACAGTATTCTTAAAAAAAAATTATAAATAAAATCATAAAATAATTAATTAATTAGGTTTTGGATGAGTAGGTAAATGAAAAACTTTAAAAGAATAATTTGAAAGAAGAAATTTGCCAATAATGAAAAATTCTCTTAAAAGCTTAAAAAAACATAAACTTTTATTAAAATTTAATTGACAGGAATAAATTATATTTAATACTATTAAATGGAACTCAAAACCTGATTGATATTATGATTTTGTGAATCAGATTATTAATTTTAAAAAAACTAATTCCAATTTTATGTGTTTTATGAATTTTCTTTTGAAAAAAATTGATTTATTCTACCAACTTATTCACTGATTCACTTAATATTTAAAAATTTAATCCTTTTATTGTCATTTGTGACATGCGTCATAATCTCATTTCATACGTATACGTAAGTATAATAAAAAAGTGTGAACATGAGTTTATTTTGGTTTTTTAACGAGATCGTTCAATATTGTGGTTGTTAATTTTTTTTGAGAATATTTCATTTTTTAATTTTATATTTAATTATAGTTTACTTATAGCAAAGACCCCCAAGGTCTTAATTTCTTTTGCATATTTATGTAATTGTTAAATCATAATACCTATAATAGTATTATAGCGGTATATGTTAAGTGCTATCTGTAGCTATGATATATTTTTTGAAAATGAAATGTACATAATTAGATTAGGAGATGAAATATTGTTATAATTATGCTTTATTTTCTAATTAAGATTGTTAAAATTTTGAATTTCTCGTGGATTTATATCGAAAAAAATAACAAAATCCGCTATATCTCTTAAAATATAATTACAGGCTTTACTTTTGCCAGATTGAATTTTGAACATATATTTTTAACAACGACCGAAAATTTGAATTTTCATTATTCATTAGAATTCTGATAAGCTGAACTAACAACTAAAACAATGATATACTGTGATTTTGTATTTATAATTTATTGTCGAATCATAAAACAATACAGTTAGCACTATTTTAATTTTAAAGACACGTTCTTACTTATATTTGAATTTAAGATTAAAATTAGCATTTATATACAAATTTTATTCATAAATATTGAAAAAAAAATTAGGGCTCATCGATTTTCTTTAAAACATTTAACTGAGTAAAATCATACCGTAAATTATTACTAATTATATAATTTTTTTTGATACATCAAGTTCATTCAATATTTCATAATTAATTTCCGTTCAGAATCGAAATACCTACATAAATATCGATTCTAAATCTCAATTTACACATTATAAATACATTTATAACAATATTTTCGTATAACAGAAAAAACTATTTTTAATAATCGATTTAGAAAACAAAAAAAAAATTGAAAGTTGTAAATTATATTTTTTATACATAAATAAATTATTTATAAAATGAAAATTAGCGTGACTTCATAAAAATAAAATGAAAATAAAGAAAAAAAAAACAATTTTCATGAATAAAATTAATGCAAATATGAAAATGATAAACTAAAACAGGTTGATATCGACTGAATCCTTTTGCAGATACCGAGAAAAAGGAAAAAGGAGAAAAATAGCAAATTTTTGTAATTTTATCAGTCTGTTTTCGCCTATAGTATTGAAAATTCTTGTTTTACACAAAAATTACAAAATTGTTTCAACGCGAAAAGCAAAAAGAATTTAATTTAATTTTGTTTACATTCACAATTATTTTTTGAAATGTAAAGAAAAAAAATAAGGAAATTTTTATTTTTCGTACATTTGCGTGTAATTGTCTTTTATTTTGTGAAAATAAATGCTAAGTATTTGTGTAAACATTATCAAATTGACACTTCGTTTACAATATGTTATGCGATAGAGATGGTTAAATTAATTGAAAAACTAGTTTGACAGTTAAAAGTTGTCAAAATGTAAATCGTATTAGTGATGATGAAAATAACGTAATAAAGATGAAATAATTGTGTGGATCTAATTTCGAAATAATTTTTGAGCTCATTTTTGACAGATCTCTGACTTATATCAAGAGAACAATCTAGTGAAAATTTTTGAAAAGTGTGAAAACTAAAATATTAGGTACGTACATATATGGGTCATAAGGAATATATTTGTACTTATGTACATTAATATTTATCCATAGTTTAATACGTAGTTTTCAATATTGAAGCTACGTCAAATCTTTGTGGTTGTCTTTAGTTATAGTGAAAGATTTTACGGTATTAGAAACACTAGAACGGACAATTATTTATATTCCATATAGGAATCTACTAAAATTACTTAGAAAAACTATTTGTTAACGACTGTTTTTGACTTGGGAACGGAAGACAGAGAAGAAAAAAGTGATCACAATCTTAGAATACAAAAATATCAGGTAACTAGAGTTGCTTTATTTGCATATGATTGTCACTAATTTGCAAATGAAAGTGATTGTAACTATTAAATTTTGTCATTCCAATTTGAATTATTTATACGTAATTTCATTTTTGATTTTAGAGTTCAGTTCATAAATGTCAAAAATGAAAATGATTTGAAATTTTTGGAGAATATGACAGCTCAAATTTCAAAATTAATCTGCTCAAGATTTGTATTAAAATAATAATTACTAAATAAGAAAATAGGCAATAATTTTGCATCTTTCTATACATCGAACGATTAAATGCCATAAATCTTAAACCATATATTCTATAGTAGACCATACTCTATAGTAGGCAGATATAATTTGCACCCTTCATAGTACATTTGCTTTTACGTATGTAGATATATGCATAAAGAAGCGCATATATAACAATAAGAACCTACAATATCTATGCTAAAAGAAAGAACAAAACAAAAATATTAAATAAATTTTTCTTTTTTTTTTCCCCCGTTAATAATTTTGAACCGTTATACATTTTTATATTAAATATATTGTTGATATTTGATGTAAAAGTCGCGGTCGCGATTTTTCATTGTAAATTTTCATTTTAAATTTTTTTTTTATGGTTTTCTCTTTTTCATATTTTTAAAAATGAAATTTTTGCACTAATTTTTTTCTGAACAAAAAAAAAAATCAAAAAATCAGAAAATATGAATTAAATTTTAAATGGAATTAGAAGAGATTTTTGTGTACTCGCGAAGAAAATCTAATAAAAAATTAGAAAAAGAGAAAAATAAGGTTCTCTATTCTTTAGAATTTTTTTTTTTTGGTGTAATTTATAAAATAATTAAAGGAGAACTGAATACGGTGAATCAATTTAACTAGAACGTACTTACATACATACATGTGTACCTAAATACATTAATTTGTGTTTGTGTGTTTGTGATTTTTTTTGGGTAAAAGTGTACAAATTTTCAAAAAAATATTGTAAAAATTTAAATGCGATTTTTTTTTCTTGTATTTTAAATGAAAAAATTCATTTTAGTAACTCGCCCATAAGGACCATACGCGGTGCGCTATTACGCTTGCTGACAGCATAAAATCAGTGAAGAATTTTCATTTTAAGTTTTTGGTTGTTGCGCTGCTGCTGTTGTTGTAGTTGTTTCTGTTTTTTTTTTTTATTAGAAAGAAAAGTGAAATTTTTTTTTTTTGGAAAAAGTGAAATTATTTTTCTAATTTTATTTATAGAAAAAATCTATTTTCAACACAGAAAAAAAAAACACATAGAATTTTTTAAAAGACAAAATTTTCAAATTAAAAAAAAATTTGTTTTTTGTTTTGAAGAAAAAAAAAATCTGATAAAAAAAAAAGTGAATTTTATTTTTGCACGTGAATGCTTTTGAACTTGCTATCAGAATAAAAAAAATTATTGCGAAATTTTCTAATAAAACTTCAGAGGCTTTAAACTAAATAGAAAAAAAAAACAAAAATTTTATTTTTAATTCAAATAGAAAATTGATTTTATCGTACGTGTTTATTTTGAATAATATAAGAAAAAGAAAATCAATAAAAGATATTCTAATAATAGAAAATAATCAAAGCAAAGCAAAGAAAAGAAAAGATTTAGTGTACTTAAAATCTAACATCGGCATTGTTTCCTAATCAAACACCAAATAGAAGAAACAAAAACCATTGCAAATTTTAAAATTTTATTAAACTATTGAGTGTAATTGAATTTGAAATACTTAGACTGCACTAAGAACACATCTGATAATAAAATTACAGAAGGTACAAAAAGGATTACTTAATTTTTTTTGGAATGAAAGGCACTAGAGTTACTCATATTAAAGTACGTCTCAAATATTTCATTTCATAATCACTTTTCTTTACACTTTTTTTAACTTTAATTGAAATTTAATTTAAAAATTCGAAAATCAAATTTTCTTTTACAGATTAATTAACTTTGAATATCGAGTTCTCTACAAATTTAACTTTTTACTATCCAAAAATATTTTATAAATATTCGAAAATTCGAAAAAGTATTATTAAATAGTAATTAATAAAATAATATAATTCGAAATAGTACTTTTAGTACCTAAAATACTAAATATGTACTTAAAATACTAAATACTAAAATACTAAAAATACTACTAATTTAAATTAGTAAAATACTGGAAGTAATAAGATACTAAAAGTATCTACTATTACTTCCAGTATTTAGTAAAACAAAAATTAATTTCTACATGAGAAATTGCCAATGATTCATATGTACCCCTGCGTCTCTTGTTCTTACAAAGAAAAGCAGATGACTGTTACCGGTGTTGTCATTTGTAACGAGTTTTCGCTATGGTAACTTTTTTCACAGAAATTTACCTTCTAATATAAGCGTTTTTGCAGCGAATTCTCAGATAATAACTCAAAAATAAAACAAATTTTGGAATATATTTTGGTTTTCATGCGATATTTCAAAGTTACCAAATTCAAGTGACACTTGTAACACAAATTGCTACATAATATATTTGTTAAAATTACTATAATCAAACACTTCAATAATCAATCATAAATTTCAAATACAAATTACATACATGATATCGAAACTTTTGACATACATTCCAAAATTTTCATTAAACGGCAAGGTGATCTTTATGTTTCAATCAAATAAAAATGCTCTCATTTAAACATCAAATTCTTATTCCACCTCAGAACAGAGGTAGGGCTGTTCTAAAATTTGTTCAAATAAAATTAAATCAAACAAAAATTTTTTTCTTTTTGATTGTGAACCAAAAAAACTTGTTAGAACCTAAAAAATTTTTTTTTTCTTTTGGGGTCGTTGTCATGTTTTTTTTTTATGTATAAAAATGACATGCCCTTTGCCAAAAGTTTATTTTTGATCTTTCAATTTAATAATTGAAAATTTTGTTGAAAAATTATTAACGGAAATGTCTGCTATTGCGGGTACTCAACCATCAATATTTTAGTATATTTGTATACATGTATGTAAATCCGACCCAATGACCTAAATTTTATCGGAAAATTTTTAATAGCTTTTAACAAATTGTATCAAATTGAAATTTACAGTTAATTGTTAAATAAACTTCTTAATGGAAATGAAATACAAATCAAGTGATTTTGTGTGATTTTATTTGTGTAACAATTAAGTATATGTTTTTAATGAGAAGAATTGAATGTTTAAATACTTTTGGATACGCATTTTAATTATCTTAACTTTTTTAATAGAAAAGTAAACCTCAACTACACACATTAGTCACTAATTCTTAAACTGTGAAGTACTCAATTTTAAAAGCAAGAGCAAGATCCTGGTTTTGTTCTGCGATTGGTAAAATAATTTTGTAAATATGAAAAAAAAATCTTAATTTAAATGAACCTGAAAACGTCACCCAAAAAATCAAAAGAGTCTTTGTTGAAAATTGAATGGAAGTTTGAGATTTATAAATGGCAAGCTAATAAAAAGGGTTTAAATTATTTACTCTTTTATTTATTTCTTTTTCTTATAAAATTAAAATTGGCATTTTTGTTAACCTAATTTTTATCACGCTGTCATATTTCTTTGAATGTTTACTAAATATTAATTAGTTTGAGAGTATTGTCACAATTTGGAGTAAAATTTTAAAAATTATGCTTTTTTATTATTATTACGCTAGAATCTAGATCATAAAAATACTCACCTGCTAAGAGGTGTAAACGCTTTTTTAAAAAAAACATTTGTCACACTTTTTCTTAATGACAATAGGACATTAGATATTGCTTTGAATTTACGTCATAATTTTTTTTGATTGTAATTCGCATATGCTGAGCATCGTTGCTCATGCTTTATTGAATAAATAATGTTAAAAATTTTCCTTGAACTCATTTCAAATATTTTACAAAAACAAAAAAAAAAATGAATTGTTTTTAATTTTTGGCATATCTACACTTGCTCAGATTATGCACTTGCATATTATTCAGATATCTGACATAATATTGTTAATTTTTCTTTATATAAATTTAAGCAAATCTTCGTCAACGAAAATTAACAAGAAATCACAGAAGAAGAAATTTATTTCAATATTGAGCTCATTTATTTTTATCAAATTTGCTTTTATAAATTTTTTTATAAGAATAATTAAAATAATTTATAAATTTATTTTCTGGTAATGTAAGAAGAGCAACAACAATAAAGTAAAATATTTTTCAAATTTATACTTATATACAATCTATAATATCTAGACGGACAGGTTGTCTACCCATATTTCTAATAATAATATTTAATTAATTAGAAAAAAAAATTACGTACATATTTTATTTTGTTTTTCTAAATAATTTATTACAACGTAAAAATGATTGAATTTTTGAGAAATTTATGAATTCTAATGGCACATTTTAGCGCCATATGACTGACGTAACGTTTTATGTCGTAAAATTTAAAGTTGAAAAATTGTTAATCAAAAACTTCTTTTCAAAACCTATAATTTGAAATTCTTATAGGATTCAAACCTGTGCCACATTGTAAACTATATTACTTTTAAAAGTACTAATTATTTGTTGTATTTAGATGACAACTTTTACATCTATGGTTATCATACGTTTCATTCTTCTTGTCAATAAAGTTTGTGCAAAGGAAACTGAGCGTATGTATGTCAACAATTGACGCGAAAGCTGTCGTGTAAACGCTATATTAATGACAATCTCCTATGACAAAATTCAAAAAATTTATATTTCAGAAAAGAGACAATGAAATGTCAAAAATGAAAGTATCATAGGCATGTTATTGCCATATTGAAAACATTAAATTCAAATTTAAAATCAACAATCATTTTGATTAAATCATTCATCCGTCAGAATTTAACAAAGGAAAATAAAATGTGTTTTAATTGATTGAATTTCCTTAAGTTGGTTTTGGATTTTTATAAATACAAAAAAATAAAAACCGCAACAATTCACTTCTTATGTAAGACACCAGTGATATGTATAAGATCACTTGCAACCACAAGAGTAAAATTTACATTATTGTATTTAAATATTGTTCGATTTTGTGTTTATGAATGAATATTTTATATTTGGATATAATTTGGTTTATGAAATAAGTATTAAATTATCGTTAAATTAGAAACTTATGTAAGTAATAATCAATCAAGATGAATACAAACAATTCAAAATAACAAATTGAACTCAATATGCAAATGTACATCATTCAATGGTGCAATTGTAAGTGGTAAACTAGGTTTGCCACTTATTTCTTCGCTACATTTCTTTCTGGTGAAAAGATTGAAATTAAACTTTAAATTATTCAAAGCATAAATAAAAAAATCACTGCTGCCTATTACATTAGAGGGCTTAATAATAGTCATTGCCACAATAGAACTTACTAAGACAATGGTCAATCAAATTGTTTACTACATACATACACGAAATTTGTTGGAATATTGGTAATAATTTTATTATATTGCTGTTCTTTTTTAATATCGCCCCTGAAATCGAGACCATTGAATTTTTGATAGTTCAAACCGATTAGGATTTAATCTCATTGTTCCATTCAACATCCAAGTTTTACAATAACGGAGCTTATGAGTTTCGGATTTTTTAAATTTACTTCTTATGTGTACGCATGTATGTATTATTCTTATTCCTTTTAATGAAAAACTATATTATTACAAAAATCGTGTTCATTTTTCCATTTTTTTAAAAAGAATTCTTAAAATAAAAGATTTAAGCAGCTTAAAAATTAGGCAATTCGAAAAATCAATTTTGTTTATAAGATTTCGCAACACAAATTTTAAATGAAAACAAAAACTTCAATAAAAATAAATTAAAACTCGAACATTTTAATTAATTTCTTTAAATATTTGCACTTAATTTTCTTTTTATTAAATTAAAATTTTCATTTTTCATAATATTATTAGAATAAAATTTATGATTCATATATGAATTGAGTTTCTTTATTATGCAATTATTAATTTATCATTGTTTATTTGTTAAAAAAATATTTTCTATTCTTATTTTCTCCCAGTTTTTTTATCTTAACCACAAAGAATAACAACTCGTTCAACATCGTCATCATACAAAGCACCAATTATTTATAAAAAAAATATTGATGTGCTCAGCACATAATCGACCGCATTGTTAAAGTGTTGCATAAGAATATGAAAATTTCCTTTAAATATTTAATTCAAATTCTATATGAAAGATAGATAGTACACTTTAGTTAATGTATGCCTCGAAAAATGTGTCTTCCGCTTTTGTTACAAATTTTCCCATAGTTAATTTCGTTAACAACTAGATTTCAAGTATTAAATTTCAAGAAATTTCGTCAATCCGATTCTAAGATATTGTCAAATATGTAAAATCAGCCCGTGTATTAAATGTTCACATGTCCATACCTGGTTTCCTCAAAAATTTTTACCTCGGCCGTATTGGAGGTACTGATCTATGCAGAAAGATTACAGGTATCTCTCTAATAATAATTTATTTACGCTTTTTTTTACCATGGAGAAGTTCGTGTCTATCGAAAAACGTGCGAAATTTCGTCCTATCACATGACCTCCCTTATTGTATGTATGCAATAGGTAATAATATTATGTACAAATAAACTACATAGATATTGTACATATGTTCTCTATTCAAATGTTGATATTTTTTATTTTAAACAAAAAAAAAATTATTTTTTTTCTTATAATATTGCATTTAACGTGATACAAGACAAACATACTTTTGAAACTTTCAGCAGTTGTACGTTTATATAATTTACATATTCTGATTTCTGCTGACCTCAAATTTTATAATATTTATAAATCTTGCATATACATATGTATGTATGCTTGTATGCATTTCTTTTAGTTTCTCATTCAATTCACTTCATTCTGTAACAATTAATTCAAATGATTAATGAATTTTATTTCGTCTTCTGTTATTCCTCTAATTTTTATGTAAATATTTTGATTTGAGTATAAGCCCCCCCATTGAATAAATATATACACTAATAATAATAAAGTCTGCATTTTAAAAATTCGAATGAAATCAGGTGCAATTTAAATGTAAACATTAATTAATGTTAATTTAATAAAAAATGGAATCCCAAAACACATTATAAATAGTAAATAAATAAAATTTTAAATGAATATACTTAGTGTTTTTAAATTTCAAGTTGTTTAAAACCTTTGTGCCAGTAAATAATTTTAATGGTCAAATGGAATTTGATTTTTAGATTTTGGAAATTATCCAACAATAAAATGAGTCACTCAATATGATGAACATGTCTTAAATTGGGAGAAATTGGAGTGCAAGGACTTGATAATTGGTCAAATAATTTTCTTCTGATAGTAATATCTCAATATACAAAAATACTTTTTAAATGTTTGGCTGTGCATAGTTTATTGGTGAAGTTACATCTAACAAAGTGGCAATAGCTATGTATGACTCTACTTACAATTACAACAACAGCGTATTGCACTAGAAAGTTAATATTTGTTTGCCATTATCTTCTCAACCAATAATTTGTCCGTTTGATCTGCCATAATTATCATAATCTAGATCGCCATAATAGTGTGCAATAACGCCGCAATAGTGTGTTTCTATTTTGTAACATAAAAATCATTTAAAATTAAATTCAATTACTCAAAATTGTTTTTAAAATATCATTTTCTGTTTAGAGGCTCAACTGCAGGCTCATAACCATATTGAAAATAGCTAAAAATATTGAAATTTCGATTCACTTCATTGCAATTTTCAAAAAAAAATTTATTTAAATATACAAAATATGCGGTCACGCACTTAAGAAAATTTTGATTTCAAATTTTTCTACTTAAAAATATTGATTTAATGATTTTGCACTGAAGAATTACGGAAGCAAATAAATTTATACAAAAATTTTTTATGTTTTCTTATCAAATTTTAATATCTTGTAACGACGAGTATTTGAAGTATTAATTTCCATTTCTTCCAATGTAATTTTACTTAAATAATATACTCTCGAGTTTTATTAAATTGTTTAGAAGAAATGATAAAAGAAAATTGTTTTTTTAAATTCTTTCATGCTATATCTTAATTATCAATAAACTGGTAGACCTAATTGTTAAGTTATAATATATTTAACATGAACGCGGAAATTCTATATATGATTCTTATTTGAAAATATCATATTAACCTACTAAAATAAGAATCTATTAAAATTTTTGTTTTCTTTATTTCATACTCATGAAAAGTATTTCTAAGAATCATTCTAAATTTCTCAGTTCATTTAAAAAATAAAAATTTTACTCTTTTCATGTCCCTCGCGCATCAGGAAAATTAAAAATTAAATAAAAAACTTTGGTACTTCAGTCCAGCAATTTATGATGCTTTTGCATGTTCAAATGCAAAATTCAATTTATTTTAAGTATGAATAAAATTTTAGTTTGTAGTACCGAGTTTCATATTTAATTTTAAAATCCGTTTCCTGATCTTTAATTACCATAAAGCTTTAAGTTGAATTAATTATTTATTTTAAAATACTTTTCTCACTATACAATAGTATTTTTTTGTATATCAAATAAAATATATTAATTTATTCGTATTTTGTTCTTCTATTTTAGCTTTCAACATTAATAAGAAAAGCTAGCCGAAGAAAATCAACTGCAACAACAAGCGATACAACACAAGAACAATCACTAGATGAAGAAAGCTCTTCAGAATCCAATGAATCAATACAAAATAAATCTGATCAATTAATACCAAATTTAACATTTATTGCAAAAAATGATGAACAACAACAAGATGATCGTCTACCACCGCCAATAGTACCGAGAAAAATATTGCCATCAACTAGTCGCAGCTGTAGCACAGAAAAACAATCAAAAAACAATTTGAATGACTTAAAGAAATTGCAAAATAATAAAAAAAATCAACAAACATCTGAAGACATCAATTCTAAAATGGATGACTCGAAGAAATCTACAAGTGACGATAATAGTATTGAAGAAGATATTGAAGAAATATTACCAACTGCTTCTTCATCCAATGATAGTGATAAAAGTAGTCCAAAGAATATAAATAAAATTGATGTCAACAAAAGGCGAGATTTATTTGGTATATCTTCGCAGGATTCAAAATTTAGTATTGATGACGAAGAATTGTCAGGAATTGGATTAACTCATCATTTTTTCATAGTTGATGAGATAAATAAAACTAAAAACGGTGAAGAAAAATTAAAACCTATTCAATCAAATAAACCAAAGTTATCAGAAACATCATTAAAAAATAAAAGCTCTGAAGAGGCTAACGAAACGGCAACCATAAAAAATTTAGCACAACCTAGTCAAAGTAATATTAAAGAACAATTTAGGAAAAATTCCAATGATAGTATTGAAAAAACGATTGATAAAAATGTACATCGACGTTCATCATCAGAGGCAAAATCCACCGAAACACATTCACAAGAAAGTATAAGCAACAGTACAATTAAATCAGAGGTTCCAACAACGTCTGATGTAGGTAATTTTGAGAAAAATTCACAAACTTCAGAAAAGGTTTTGCCGCACAGAAGTAGTAGCAATGTAAGTAATAGATCCGAAGATACTGAAAAATTTGAAAAGTCGTCAACCGTAGCTAGTAAATCGGACGTATCAGAAAACGTGTCAAACCATAGAATTCTAGATGATAAAAAACAACAATCCAAAGAACAATTAGAACGTCATTCTTCAGATGATTCGAATGTAAAAACAAATTCAAATAGCGATAAACTTGCTAGATCATCTGAACTAAATGAGTCTGAGAATGTTTCGGTTCACAAGAGTACTAGCAGTTCCGGCGGTAAATTACTGAACAGAGCCTCTACTAAAGAGGAGTCCATAGAAGAATTTTCGGAAAATATTGTTCCTGCCGAAAAAGTAGAACGTCCACATTTAATTATTAAGATAAATTCTCAACCAGATGAGTCAGGAGACGTACTAACCACTGGGCCAAATGAAAGTCTAACTAATCAAAGTACGGCGAATGAAGTCTCCGAATTGATTGAAGAAAGTAGTGATCAGAAAGAAACCCAAAGTTTAGGTTTGAGTAGCAAATCAATTAATGATAATAATCAGCAATCGTCCAAAATTATAGCAAAATTGTCTGAACGTAAAAATTCAAAAGATTCAGTTACTGATACTTCACGTAGTGATACCCAAAAAGCAGATGCTCAAATTTGTAATGAACTTATTAAAAATTTAAATACTGATCTGAGGGAAAATGAAATTTCAAAAATTAATAAAATTTCTACAAATTTTTTGACTGTTCCGAAGGAAACGATGGAAGAAGGAGGTAAAAATTCAATGCCATCTATTCCGTCGTCCTCACAAGAAGACGACATGGATGCATTAAAAGAAAAAATTTTGTCAATAAAATTGACTCCAAAATCTGGTCCTCCTGGACCTCATATGGCTCGTGATGTGTCTTACGAACAAGCTGATGATCAACATATTGCAATAAAACCAATGGAAAAAGTACAAATTGATTTTAATAAAGACATTTTAGAAGATATCACTGAAGAATCTGAAAAAATTTCAACAGCCGGTTTGGATCAATTAAATCAAATTACAGATTTTGACAATAATACTTCAAATGATTTCGATAGTATTGTTAGTTTAAATATGATCCAAATGTTGGAAAACAAAATTAAAGATTTACAGGATGTAGTTACTGCTAAAGATATTTGTTTAAGTGCTCTTAATATGCAATTAGATGCTGCTCAACGGAGAGAATCGTATGCCACAATAGAGAGTTTTCGAGAAAGTTTTGATAAATTGCCCCCCAGTGGTAGAGATTCATCAAGTTTAGCTACTAATTCCACTGAGTATAGAGGCTTGCAAGAAGAGTTGGGGAATAAGGTAATGTTATTTAGAAGTAATTACTTATCTTTTATGACCTTGTATAACTGAACTTATTTTTTTTTTAGCTTTTTGATTTTCATTCAGAAATTACACAAAGAGATACAGTAATTGAAAAACTTACAGAATCTTTACAACAATCTATACAAATACGAGAAGATCATCAAGTTCAAATCGACAAGTTACATACGGAGCTTCAATCTCTAAGAAAACAAATTTCAGAACTAACTCGTAAGCCATCATTACCACCATGGTCTAACCGTATTCAAGATCAAGAAAGTAATGGTCAACGTTTGTCTGAGATTTCAATTGATTTGGTTAGTGAAAGTGATGAAGATTTAGATCGTAACTTTCTTACTGATAATGAGGACCGTAATTCGAGGCACTCAAGAGAACGTAAATTTTCACTTGATTTGGGTCAACCATCCGGTGTTGAAAATTTCGAGCAGCAACCCGGGTCGCAAATGTCAGTTAGTAAGCAAATAGAACAATTTCAAAAATATTTAAATCCAGAGGAATTAAGAATATTTTTTATGGTTCAAAAAAAGTTTGATGATTTTTTGAGTCAAGAAATTGCAAAATTTAAAGCAAAATATGATAGTGAAATTAAAATTTTGGCAGATCAAATGGAAGCTGAAAAACATGACCGAGATTTAGAGGTATTTTTGAAAATTTACAATTTAATGAAAAAATTTTATTTTTTTAAAATATGTTTTTTTGTTTTTTATTTTAGATTGCTAGATTGAAACAACTTTTAAGTAGCGTTAAAAATGGATCTACGGAATTAATTCAATTACGACAAGAGCTTGATCAAATTCATGCCAAGGAAATGGAAGATCTTAGGACATACTTTGAGAAAAAATGCGCTGATTTGGAAAAGCAGTACTCTGAAGAAATATTTTCTCAGCATAGTTTACGTAATGATGTTCAATCAGATGTTTCAGATCAAGAAAATTTACCTCATGATGATTCTCCTATCAAAAATCAAACATCTAGTAAAACCAAAGAAACAAATATTCGCAAAAGAACACGTGAAGAATTGTATGCAAGCCCAAGCCACCGTCAAATGACACCGACTGCTATTTCTCCAGAAAGAAATCAACGAAAATCATCGTTAATTGAAGAAAATGCTAAAGAAGGGGTAAAAAATGAGTTCTATACTTTGCGAAATGATAATTAACAATTGAAATTTTACTTTTAGGAACCAGATATTGATGTTAATGAACTAAAAACTTTCTATAAAGAAAAAATACAAGAACTTAATGATAAACATGAAAAAATAGTTAAAAACTTGAATGAAAAACTTAAAAGATTTGAATCAAAATATGCTGATGATGAATTTATGGTAATTAATAGGATGAAAATAAATTTTAAGCATGTTTTTTTATTCATTTAGAATTTTGTCTAATTAAAAGAAGTACATACTTATACATAATTTGGCTCATACATGAAATTAAAATACAATTCATTTCGGTTGGTAAAGGTATTTGTGAATGATTAATTTCAGGCTTTAACTTTATATTTTGCACATCGAATTTATGATAATTTATGATAAGACATTACAGTCTTCATTATTATTACATATATACCAAATTTGTGAAGTCTATATATTTCTGCACAAAATATATGCGAATTGTATCTGAAAATCAGCTTTCATATTTTTAGTCGTCTTTCACGTTCACCATTTTCCGTTGTTTTATAAAGATTAAATTGGAAAAATATCAATATCATATTTTTTTAATTAGATAAAATTATAGATACTCAAAGGGCTCATAATTTATTTTAAATTTTCGAATTTAATATTTAAATTTTAAAATTTTTGTATGGCACTAATTATTTCAATTTTTCCATTACTAAAAGTTTTTAAACTTTTTTGGTGAAGAAATAAGTCAAAAATTTAAAACGTGCCAATTCCGAATTCTGCGTACTTATTTGATCAAATCAATATTATGAATTAATGAGCGTCTTACATATTATACGACTTTATGTATGTATTAGAATTCTATTCGACACAACTGCAAAATAATAAAGTAATCGGCATAATATAGTAAATATTAAGCCTTTAAAGGTTAACAAATTTTGATATTTTCAGGATTAAAACTAGAGTTTAGATCATATTTATCTTTATGGCTAGTAAGTTTTATTTTCAAATAACTTTACTGAACGAAATTATGTATCGTTTGTTTTCAATTGAGCTCAATATTTAGATCAAAAATCTATTTTTAATAATATATTAGTATGTTATGTAATAACCGCATGTAATTTAAATTTACTTTATTTTTATGCTAACTTCATCAAAATATTTAAAAAAAAACTTTAATGTACACAATACCTAACAAAATCAATAATCCTGATTCCTACATGAATGTTGTATATAATTAAATAACAAAAAAAAAAAAGAATAAATCCGATCCAACAACAGCAACATCTGGAATTACAAAATCTGCTGTTGTTAACGCTTATGCTCAACCGGAACAAATGTCCTCTTATATAATTATTGATGAAGATGAAATGATGAATGATGGTAATGAAATAGAAAAAATCGCAGCTGAATATGAGAGACGTTTGGTTGAGCAAGTTCAATTAGCAAAAGAAGATTTATTTAAAGAGTTGGAAGCTCAAATACAGGTGAGTAAATTAACATGTGTGTTTGTATTATTTGTTGTTTTTTTTTTTAATTAATCAATTATTTTGTTAATAAGCACAGATTCTGCAAATATTATAACCAACTTGTTGCTGTATGAAAATTCATACATAACGTATTTGCACTTTCATTTAATATTTTTAAATGTTTTGTAAAACACTTTTGTTTTTTATAATATTTGTGTTCATTATATCTTTATCATTCTTAAATAATTTATTCGTTTTGCTTTTAACTTAGTTATAAGACGTAAACGTGATTAAAGTATATTATTCAATTCAATTTTTAAAAAAAATGAACTGTTTAGTTCAATTTGAATTATGGTGTATTTCATCTTAATCGTAAAAATGAAAGGAAATAAAATTGTTATCGTAAAAAATTTAAAAACTTATCATAGACAAACGTCAAATGTATATTAATTATATATGGTTTGTGTCTATAATAATGAATTTTTAAAATTTATACGATATATATTTATTCCTTCATTTGTACTCTGAATGCCAATTGAGTATCTTGCGCGATGAAATGTGATATTTTTTTATTTTGTTTTTTATTTTAATTTAGAAAGCCAATGAATTTTACAAGTATTTAGGGTTCTATTATTAACATTTATTTTATACCCTACACCTTAGTGTTGAGAAAATCGAACAATACCAGAATTTCAGAAATTGTTTCTTTTCTGCCATGGAAAATCCTTTTGTAATTGAATTAAATCGACCGTCGGGTTCGAGTAGCCGGCATACTTAAAATATACAACTTAAAATATTATTTTAAATATTTTCAAACCAATTAAAGATAATAATATTTAAATTTTGGAAATGTGTCCAGTTACCTTGTGTGAAAGTTTTAATAAAGTGGAATTAAAGTGAAGTAGTTTTTGTTCAATGGCTTGACATGTTCCAGCAGTTGCCATACACACAATTTTAACAGCTAATTTTAAAAATTTGAAAAAATAATAAATCAAGCTGTATTAAATTTGGCAGATATCTGTCCAATATCTGTTCTCTCTAAATTCTTTAAACTCCTAAGCACCTGAGTGATGCGAGATAGATTTGTAAGCGATACGCTTTACTTCTATTAAATTACATAATACTTTTTCTTATAAGCAATTAAATTTTTTAAATTTGCATTATTTAAATAATTTGTATCGCAATACGCTGCGTTATTTTTCAACACGCCAATTGTTTTTTTTTTAAAGTTCATTAGCCCTTTTTCTAATTTTACAATGACGCCACTTTATATTTTTTTTTCTTTTTTTCTTATCAAGTTTGAAAAAACCGACTGTCAACAAAAATTCTATAGTTGACAAACTTTCATATAGAAAATTAAAATAAATGCATACGTCATCAATACATAGAACTTTGGAATGATGAATTAGTTCAAATTGGTTTTCTCTGTTAGAATTTCTGTTAGAAGTGTATAATGCACATGATTACGAATAACTTAAACGTTCTTGACTTTCAGAATATTTTTGCATTATTTGAAATTCATTCCCTTTATCATTGTACTTTAATATTTGATATTTTTAAGTTTTGGAATTCAAAATAGTGAAATTATTTTTAGAAAAAATTTTCAAATGTTTTATAATTTTCTGTTTTATTAGCTTTATAACAAAATATTTGTATAAGATGAAAGCATCACACTTATATTTTATGTGGTATACATCATTTTTGTCCACTTCCTTTGTATTCTGTGGCATTTGTTTTCTTAAAATTAAAGGAAGGGTAGGCATGTACCGTAACTGAACAAAGTTTGTACGCTTTGAAAATTAATTATTATTTTTAGCCATTTATTATTTTTCTGTATAAAAGAAGTCATAATATTTCTATTTATAATGTATTTAATGTATTTTTGTATACTTGAAAAGTTCATGATGAAAAAGTTTGAATTTCTAATAAATTATAGAGAAACGTGTAGAATAGAAAAGTGAAATGGACTGCAGTGATTGAAATTCTATACAAAAATAGAAAATGTAAACAAATGAATTTAAAAAAAAAATTATAATGTTATTAATTTAGCAATTTTTCAAATATTACAAGATTTTTAATTTTTATGCATAGGGTCTATTCAATCTGTATGAGTCTATTTAGTGATGTAAATTACAGTATAACAATAATTACAAATATTGATATGTATAATAATTCTTTGCAGTATGGGGATTACTCTTACTATCGCTATTACTTAGCATTTGGTCCGTTTACAAGCAACTCGAAATAGTACATTTTTCGTTGCTTCTGTTAGGGTTTTCGGTATAAGTGAGTGTATTTCTTGTATTTGAACAACTTATTTGAAGCGATGTTTAATCACTGCCAAAGGAGCTTTTCTTATATAAGTATTGCTTACACATGAATCTCATTATAATTCTAATTAAATTTTAACTATACTTAATATATGTCGTTTTAATTGTAATGCCTTTGCATTTTTTTGAATATAAAGAATGAATAAATGTGAAGGTTACAGATCGCAATTAAATTACAATTCTCTGTATTCGGAGCCAAAAAATATTTCAGAAGAAAACATTTTTCTTTATAATTTCTATATTTTAAATTTGGTTTTTAAAGTAAAGGTACCGGATTTAAATTTTGTAATTTTCATTTTTGTCTAATTTTTTTGATTCAATTGAATTTTTTTCATGAAAGTAATGATATCATTATTTACCTGTATATCAAGTATTATACTTATACATTTCAATTTTTTATATTAATTGTGGTTTTTGGTTGCAGATGACTCAATATACAAAAATATATTCAATTTCAAAAATTTAATTGTACAACAATGAAATTATTGTGAAGATTGTAATGTGATTTCTAGTATGTTATGTGGAAATCAAAAGGTGATGAATTGATAAACAACAAGTTGACTCCTAATGAAATTTCTATTTATTCTGTGGCCCGACCAAAACTAGTATTAGGCGTAATCAAACTATTTTTTGTTTTGTTAATTCAAAATTTCAGATGGGAGAACGCAGGATCTATTTTAAGATAAGGATCTATTTTGTTTTTTAAATTCACTAAGAAATTTATGATACGATTGTAGTTGCATATTGGCGTCATAGCTTTAAAGTACCCAAACAATTTTTTAAGCTCAAAATTTTTAGAAACACAATTAGCTCTTATTGCCTATAATTAAGTTGATCCAGGCCGCTATTGTAGATTGAGGCCACTATGTTTATCAAGTTTTTTTTGAATGCTAACAATTTTTACGTGTTCTACCAATGAAATACGAATATGATTTATTTGTTTTTTGTTTTAATTTGTGTTATTCCAATTTTGCCTCCCTATTTTTTGTTTTTTCTTGAAATTTTTTAATAAAGTAATAAATTACTTTTAACTTTCATCATAATGTCTAGGATACAATTAAAAATATCCTGAAAAATATTTATTATATCATTAACAAAAATCTTATTAAATGAAGTTATGGAAATTTAAAGGGAGGGAATTTACAAATGCACCCGACGTGTCTTATATAAAATTAATTTTTCATTCAAACTTTTAAAAAGTAAAATAAAGATTAAGAAAGTTCAAGAGAATTCTATTTTTAGAGAAACTAGTCAACAATAAATGAGGGATAAGAAGGAATAAGTGTGTTAAATATAAACAAAATGTGTACTTCCGGCAAAAAAGAACAAAAAAAAAATTAATTAAAAATCTCAATGTGCGCACATAATGCATTTATTTTGTTTAAAATGAATGCATTTTTATTGGATATTTTTGTTTTAATTATCATAAATATTTTAGAAATTTCAATAAAATTTTATGTTTAATCATACAATTAAATTTTTATTTGATTCAGTTTATATGTTAATTTATATGCAAATTGTTTTGCAATATTATTGTTATAGTGTTATTTTAATTGTAGGCAATTTCCGGTATAGTAGGGATACCATTGCGATTTGATATTCTTTAAAGAAACCGTAGAACAAAGTGCAACCAAAAATTTATATCACAGGAGCTGAATCAATTTTGAATTGAACTAAATTCTAATATGAAATTAACACGATTTTATGCAAATGCTATTAAATTGCTAGCCGTCTTACTGCAAAGTTAAGCTCTTTGAATTTCAGTTTCTTGATGCCTTTCAATGATAAAACTTTAATATTAGAAGTTCACAACAAAATTAGTACAGTTCAACAATTTACTCTCTATCCTTGATCTTGGGGCGAAAAACGTGTGGTTATTTAAAATTTACAACTTAATTAATTTAATTTTAAGCTTTAAATATGATATGAGAATTTTATTCAGTAATTCAGCAGTATAATAATAGTATTCTTATTTAAAAATAACGTTTTTAGTACTCTGCGTATCCAAGCTGATACATGTAGTCATATAAATTAGTAAGTTATATAAAATAGTACAAACTAAAAAAATTCCCTTTTTCTGATTCTTATAGCTAAAGCTTTAACCGTCACTAAAATTCAATTTTTCAAATAAATTTTCTCTTTTTGCTTTTTTCCTCTGGTTTACAGAAAATTTCTCAATTTTTATTTAAAATTTCTTTTTTTCTGTTATACTGTTTTATATACAGTTAGAGTTCTGTATAACTGATAAAATTTCAGAGAACTTGAACATTTTCTCTAGGATTTTCTTTTTTTTTGTATTGAAAATCTCTTTCACTCTATTTATAAAAAAAAAGCTTCTATATATTTGCTCTCTCAAATTTCCCAAACAAATTCAATATTCATTTTAATTTAATTGATAACGGTTTGTTTTGTATGTCAAATTTATTGTATATAATAAAATAAAATATCTAGGTATTAGAAAAGTAAATTATGTTATTGATAAATTTTATTTATTAATAACAATAAATAAATTTTATTCTTGTCTCTCTTTTCATTTATTAAAATTTTAAATTTATGTCTATACAAAATAAATTACAATTTCGGTAAATACTTTTGTAGAGGGGATTTTGTTGCGGAGTCAAGAGAGAGAGAGAGGGAGAGAGCTAAAGAACGTTTGTTTAACAAATGAACTGTATGTAAACGCAGGTT